GAAGCTCAGATGATTCATCTTGCACAATCCGGGGGTGGGTGGGGGCTTGTGAAAGAAAAGATCCACTTGACTTGTCTCATTGAAAATTGCCACATGTCTTCTTCTCCATGATTGCCAAGAGGTTGAAAATTTTGAATCTGCTTTTCCCTGGTTCAAACTGGGCCGGCTTTAGGTAGAGTGAAAGTCTTGTCAGGAAAAATGACAACTTCCCTCAAATCTTATGCGAAGCGCATGGCTATTTGACTCTATTTATCCTCACTGATTTGTTCCTTTCTTTTTTAGTACACGATTTCTTTGCTGCTTAAAATGCAGAGTCACAATGAGGCATACAAATTTAGCTGTGTGTCTGTTATAGGAAAAAAATGGCCCTAACATACTTTAATGGTAATTTAATTTTTTTCTAAATTGCTAATCTGTGATCTGAAATTCTAATGGAGTGGTGCAGTCACTCTGCAAGACAATCAGAAGCAAGGAATCAGAACAGATCTGTTTCCATCACAGTTTATGCTCTTTGCATGGCATTTGTGTAACCCTCGCCCTGTTTTTTAAAAGCAATTTTTCTTAATAATGACAATATTAATTGAGAAATTGGTGGGGGGATAAATAGCGTTGCCAGGCCTCTCATTATGGTAAGAGTCCTCCCACTGGCAGCCCTCACTGCCTGCTGCTGCTCAGAGCGACGGTGGGAGGGGAAAAAAACCCACTGGCATCACGTGTAGCATAATGTCACTTGGCAGGGGGACCTGGAAGTGATGTCACGTAGTTCTAGGAATCACCAGAAACTCTCTGGTAAAGCAGTAGAATTTCCAGCAATTCCATGAGTGACATTACATCACTTCTTGGTTTTCCTGGAAGTGACATAATGGTGCATGTGCCACCATATACACCCATGTCCCCGTTTCCCAATCTTCCGCTGGTTGCCAGGGATGATAATCTGGCATACGTTTGCTTATTTCTTTATGCTATTTTGGTTTTTCTGTGTTATTGTTATAAGGAACAAAAAAATGAATCTTACAGATGGTTGGTTGAAAGTTGATGTATGATCTTGATATGATTGTACATCTAATTGAAACAAGATTCTTTTTGTGCTTTGTTTTACTGCTGATGTGCCCGTCTTTTCCTATGCATGCTTCCTCCCAAACTTCTTGAATGCGCAGCAAGATCACTTCTGCAGTTTTGGTATGCATGTGCATGTATATCTTTACAACACCACACCAGAAGAATTTCAATGCAATCATACATATGATCACCTCCATATTGTATTTGTGCGAGGAGTTAACAATAAACATATTGCATTGGTATTAGAAAGAATGAATTGAAGAAAGTAAAAGCTCTGGCAACTTGCTTAATGCTTTGCACAAAATTGGCAAGTGGAAAAAACAAACAAAAAAGAAAATTCTATCAATTCCATTTGGGAAACAAGACTGGGTAATTTGTGATTCCAAATTCAGAAGAGAAAAGGTTCTAAAGCATCTCTAAAACACATAGAAGCATTGTGCTCCATTCCATTTTGCCTTCTTTGACAGCTGAACATGGCTTTGGAAAGCTGGGCTGTGCCCATTTTTCTAGGAGACGTATAGCTATGGTAGGACTTTGCAAAGAAAACGTAGTAATTAATTATGATAATTATGGCATCAAAAGCCTCTTTCTGTGCATGTGCTTGGACAGCTGAGAGGATGCACAAATTAGAGGCTCCCTCTCAACCATGGCATCTTTCTCACACTCACTTTTTGAAGCCCTGGGCTGCTGCAAGACCCCCTAATAAATCCCAGAAATGTGCCTTGGTCTAGAATAACAAGGAACACCGGAGGGCAGAGTTTTAATTTAACAAGAGCCCTGGTCAATCCCAGAAGCATAAACCCTTATTTCATTTGCATCAAAGTAAATTACTTGGCTTAAAATGCAAAATTGTTAATGCAAGAAATAGCAAAAAACAGATCTTCTGTGAGAAAGGATTGTTATTTCTAGCTTTTTTTTCCTTTTTGCCTAAGCTACACATTTTCGTATAGTTGAAACCCTGAGAAGGCAGTTCAGTCTCAGTTATCTAGATTGATATATTCTTGGCAATTAAAAACTAGAAAATGGTAGTCAATCCCCTACCCACATACCCACATTATCAACCTACATTTCTGCTATCCAGAACTTTGAAGTCATCTAGGTGCTGCAAAATTCTCACTCAGTGCTTAAAGCAGCATGACCAGCAATGTGTCAACATCACTTCCAGCATGTACAGGAAGTTATGTCATCATGCTGTGATGTCACCATGATGCTCTGGTATTTGGGCAAAAACTCTGTGGTGAAAATGGCCTCTACCATAGAGTTTTCCCCAAATACCAGAGTGTCACTGCAACATTGCTGATGGGATGACATCACTTCTGGTGTATGCCAGAAATGACATTGCCATGTCACTAGCAATGTAGCCTGGGCCTCCCACCCTCTCTTGGTAAGTCCCCCCCCCACTGGCCAGCTGATTGACAGCAGGGGGCAAGGCCTAGTAGTGGGGGACCCCCACTTCCACCGGGAGGTGGGGCTAGCAACCCTGCTTCAGATGCTTGCATTTGATCCCTCATTCCTAGGGTTGGAACATTCCTGGAGATGTGAGTAGCAGTACCTGGGAAAGGTGGAATTTAGGGACACGAAAGAGCTCTAGGGCTTCCATTTCTCCTAGACTCTATAGTACACCATACTGTCTGCTCTTGCAAACTGTCATTTCCTCTAGGGAAACAGCTCAGTAGTGTGGAGATCACTTGTAATTCCAGGAGAACTCCATGTGTCAGCAGGAGTTTAGCAACCCTACTTCCTCCACTCCTATTTATTGGGTACAATCCTGATCTTCTGATTCCTGTCCTGGAATGCTGCTTTCCCTATTTTGCCTTTAGTCATTAAAAAGGTAGCATGAATTGCTGGTTGTTCAGTGCTTCAGATGTGAAACTTTTGAAAAGGAGGGGAATGGATTTTGGCTTGCCACAGTCCTTTATTTCAAAACAGGAGGCTGAGAATGCTAGGGTTAATTGGAACTGTAATTAACTTGGCCTTCTAAATTCAATCACGTGGCAGAACACACGCATAGCCCTACAATCCCTGTGGACTTTAGAGGTTGTTACTGCAAGAAGGATTGGTGGTCATTCTTCATTTCACAGGAAGGACTTCATCAGTATGTATTGCAGTAGAACGTGACTGATCAGTGATCCTTGCTTTGAGTCTAGCGCTACTGTACACAGGAAAGACTACCCCTATGTCCAGCTGTGATGCCATGGCAAGTGTGGTACAGCATGCCAGCTGGGCTAGCTCTCAGCAGGTTTGGGTTCTGACACCCACTTTACCATGAAGGTCCCTGGGTGACCTTGGTCTACTACTCTGGAGCCATCCTTCCTGAGCTAAGACAAAAATCTGTGAGCCAGAGGCTAAAAAACTGTGAGCTAGCTCACAGTTTTTTAGCCTCCGGCTCACACCTTTTTGCCTTAGCTCAGGAAGGATGACTCCAGAGCAGTGTTCCCTCTAAGCTGAGTTAGTGTGAGCTAGCTTACAGTTTTTTAGCCTCCGGCTCACACCTTTTTGCCTTAGCTCAGGAAGGATGACTCCAGAGCAGTGTTCCCTCTAAGCTGAGTTAGTGTGAGCTAGCTTACAGTTTTTTAGCCTCCGGCTCACACCTTTTTGCCTTAGCTCAGGAAGGATGACTCCAGAGCAGTGTTCCCTCTAAGCTGAGTTAGTGTGAGCTAGCTCACTCTAACTCAGCTTAGAGGGAACACTGCTCTGAAGCTTACCTACCTTATTGGGTTGTTATGGCAGTAAAACTGGGTAGGATTGGGGAAGAACTACAGCCTAAGCTCATTCAAGGAAGGGTGGAATCTGAAAGGTTTGCTTCAGGAAACTAAATATCTTGGAAGGGACCATGCAAATACTATTCAGCGAAAGTTTGAAGCATTTCAGAATCCTGCTGCTTTCAACAGGAGCCATTTAGTCACAGGCTTAAGTATTTCACTGAGATCAATGGGTCTTAAAAGCAATTCATTTTAGTTGGATTGTGCTTTATGCTTTGTAAAGTTTCCAAAGAGTGTAATCAAGCATTAAAATCTGTTTTGATTTTTCTCACGGTCTCTTCTGATTTGTTCTTCCTGTGGAATCCCTGGCGCCGTTGGCGCACTGTTAGCTGGTGTTCATGCCATAAGTTCCATTTTTCATTCCTAGACTGCAGACAGGGATTTGATTGAACTCAGGTATTTGCAGGCCTTTCACCCTTCAGTTCTCCCGCTGGTTTTTCAGTTATTACATTTCTATCCATCATCTTCTTTCTTTGGCTGCTGCAGTGCGTAGCTGAAGCTGCACATGACTTGCACAGCATTTCAAATTTCTTCCAACAAAGTGGACTCTTCATGACTGCTGAGAACAACCAACATAACAAAGATCAGCCTTCCAAGCTCTGGTCTTTAGATAGTCACTTCCCTGGTGTGTCTGCTGCATTGCCTGTTTTGTTTGTCAGCCTAGGGTTGCCAGTTCCAGGTTGGGAAGTTCCTGAAGTTTTGAAGGTGGAGCCTGGGGAGGGTGGAATTTAAGGAGGGGGCTCAGCAGGGATGTGATGCTATAGAGTCCATCCTCAAAAGCTGCCATTTTCTCCAGGGGACCCAATCTCTGTAGCCTGGAAATTTCAGGAGGACTCCAGGCAGCCCTAGTTTGGTCTCATTTATTTGGAAAAACTCATTCCAAGCAAACCAAGAATGTACTCAAAGCCACCAGAGCATGGTGGAGAATCCCATTGTGTTAGGCTGGGCACAGACTCTAGATTATGGCGGGGGGGGGGAGTCTAAACTTTTGGTTTTTAAAATACACAAGCGTCTAGCTGACACACTGATGTCATTTCCACCTCTTGCCCTGCTTTGGAACTCCCAGGGTGTCAAGCAGAGGCCTGGTGACCCTACTGGGAAGTGTCCATTTAATTGTTTGTTGTATCCTATGAAAGGGGTTTCATCATCAAAACAATGCTTCTTGGTCTTCCTCCACAGAGTCGGAAACATGCAAGCAAAGTTCGGCTTTACTATATGCTCCACCCAATAGATGGAGGCTGTCCTGCAAAGAAGCTGCGGTCAGAAAATGTGAGTATGCTAATGAGATTTCTGAACCGGGCACAGAAGGACTATGATGCTCAGAGTGCATTGCACCACATATGCAGATGCAGTAGTGTGCTGGAATGTCAGGGTAGAATTTAGACTGCTTGGCAGTGAACTGGTGCCATTGGAGGTGTTCTTGGGTATAATGGGCTCTCGAGCAGGCTGCATTGTCCCATGGACGGAAGCCCTGATTGTTTGTGGCATGATGTAGTTTTATAGCAGCGGTGGCCAAACTGTGGCTTGGGAGCCGCATGCGGCTCTTTCACACATATTGTGTGGCTCCCGGCAGGGCGGCTGAGAAAGCTAAATATCATTAGCAGACAAATATCATTATCAATATCTGCTTTTACTGCTTTTGTTATTATTTTGGGCAGTCTCATGTAATGTTAATAAAAAGCAAATTTGCATATTTTCTGAATAAAAATATGTAATATTTGTTCATGTCTTGCGGCTCTCAAACATCTGATGTTTATTCTATGTGGCTCTTACATTCAGCAAGTTTGGCCACCCCTGTATAGTATCCATTGGATACTGTAAGATTGCAGTGCCCATCAGACACCAAGCACCATGCATGGAAAACATAGGACTTACAGCTTCTTCCACTGAGAATTGGGTTTACTAACTCTGAAGCTCTGGTTAACTCTCCCCCTCTCCTTGGCCCTAGAAGGTATGTATGATTTCCAAATTTGGAAATCCAACTTAAAATAGTTTATTCACTTGACAAATAAGTGTCTGAAATGTGCAAGGACATTTTCCAAGGACACAGAAATATCTGCAAAAACATATAAGATATTAAGGGGGAGCAGTCAGTACAGCTGAATTAGACTTTGCACTTCAAATGACCTTTTGCAGTTCAGTGACAACAATTTGGAAACCAGCTTCTGGAACATTGTCCAAGAGCTACGATTTTCGCTAAAATAATGAATAGTTATAGCAGTCTTCATACAAGTAAGTATGTTCTGAAATGAGCTGAAAGATTGTTCCTAATGTATATTTCTGGTCAAAATTGCACAGTATTAAAGTCGTTTGCTGGTTGACCTTTAGCACTGAGCTGAAAACAGGAGGTTATAACTGTTAATATCTATTTAGCGCTTATGAAAATATGTTTTATTCATCTAATGCCATTTTCATCCCCTTGTATTAAAAGTGGTATGTTGACACAACATATGTTTCACATATAGCCTTGCTGCTGAAATTGATAATTGGGGGGGGGGGGGGGGCTGCCAATGCCAATGAACTCCTCCTAAGTTTTGACTTGTCAGTTGCCATCCCTCTTCATTACTAGCCAACCCACTCTGAAACCAGTCTCTTCTTCCCAAAACTTATTTTTGCAAAATTATGGATTGGCAGAAGCATTGATGTAGTACATTGATGTTCAAAATATTTCATGTCAATTGTTTAGAAGAAGAAAAGAAGAAGAGATTGGATTTATACCCCACCCTTCACTTGGAGTCTCAGAGCAGCTTACAGACTCCTTTCCCTTCCCCTCCCCACAACAGACACCCTGTGAGGTAGGTGGGGCTGAGAGAGCTCTTTCAAGAACTGCTGTTTCAAGAACAGCTCTGACAGAGCTATGGCTTGCCCAAGGTCACCAGCAGCTGCAAGTGGAGGAGTGGAGAATCAAATCCGATTCTCTCAGGTTAGAGTTCGTACAATACCCCACTACACCAAACTGGCTCTCAACTGGTTTAGTGACCCTTGTAATAGCTTTTAGGGGTATGCACCAACATTTTTTTTGGTATTTTTCAGGTTCAATGCTCCCTCTAAGCTGTGGAGTCTTGTAAGTAAAAATTCTACTTTGTGTTAAAGTTGTGAGTGAGCAATTTGGCTACTGCATAAATTAGTTTGCTCTGGAGGCATCCTCACTGAGCTAAGACAAAAATGTGTGAGCTAGAGGCTAAAAAACTGTGAGCTAGCTCACACTAACTCAGCTTAGAGGGAACTGGTTCGGATACACCAAACCCGAAAAATATTGGTATTTGCTGAAATTCCCAAATTCCAGTATTGGTATGATATTGGGGTTCAGGAATTTTTGGTATTGCCGAATTTATTCGGCTCAATTATACCCTATGGGGAACATCCCCATAGGGTATAATAATTCCCTTCCCCCAGATTCAGCCTTGCCTCCCCCTGCCCAAACCCGTGCCTCCCCATCTTTTCTCCCTTCTCTAGCTGGCCTGCCAAAGCAGTCGCCTAGAGAAGGGAGACATGATCAGGGAGGCGAGCAAGTCTGCCTTGGGGAAAAGACGAGGAGGCATTTTAAAAGCCTCCCCAATCCAGCCTTTCCCAGCAGGTCCACCATAGCCAGTAGGCTGGGGAAGGCTGAATCAGGGAGGCATTTAAAGTAAAGATGCCTCCCTATCCTTCCAGCCATCCGCAGCCTGCCTGCTCCAGTGGTCGGGCTGGGGAAGGTGCAGGGAGGCCGCCCTCCCAAGCCCACAGGAGCCAAGGGCAAGTCTGAAAGGGCTTGGAGCTCTTCGATCCAAGCCCCTTCAGCTTTGCCTTCCTCCCCCCTGCCCAGGGAGGCATCTTTAAAAGCCTCCCCACACCTTCCCCAGCCTGCTCGCTGGCTGCAGCGAGCAGGCTGGGGAAGGCTGGATCAGGGAGGCATTTAAAGATGCCTCCCCCTCCCCCACCTTCACCAGCCCACTGGCCACAGCAGGTTGCCTGAGGAATGGAATCAGAGGTAGAGCAGGTCAGTTACACTCTCCTCCGCTTGGAAACTGACCTGCTCTCCCTCCTCTTGCTTCCCCAGCAGGCCACAGGCCAACTGGGGAAGTGTTGTATTGGGAGGATGCCGTATAGAAGCCAAATAGATTCGGCTTCCATACAGCAGTTCTTTTTCAGGAAGCTGAATCAGATCAGGGAAACTGATTCGGCTTCTAGGGAGCCTGAATAATGCTGGGTTGTTGGGGGGGAGGTTGGCTGGGCTGAGCCGAATGCACATCCCTAATAGCTCTCTAAGGTTGGCTGTATTATTATCTTTGCATCTTGGCTGGGTGGGGATGACGGTGGCATGGACTACAGAGAGCTGCTTATCTGAGCACTTAGTAAACTCATTGAAGAAATGGGATTTGGACTTCTGATGCCTGCATGACAGCCCATACCCTTAGCCTCCATGTTACAACAGCTCGTACCTGTAAGGCCTGGATGGCTACAGGAATATCCATTACTGCTGGAAGACATGATAAATGCAGTTTGCACCATCACACCTTCTGCTCCTTATGTAATCCCTAATGGGTTGGGATCATCCCCTCAAATCAACAACAACAAGAACACAGAAGCCAGGGCAAACAATGGCACCAGACCAATCAGGCCAAAGGTGAATATTTACACAATCAAAGTATTCTTCAGTAGTGGCACAGCTCTAAATATATAGGATTATTTGCCTAGCAAGGCAGATCTCTTAATCTGTACATAGCATCTATACCTCAGGATAGCTTCTTATACTTTATGTGGATGGATTTACGGCATGCAGCTGTCCTTAGCAATAGATAGGAATTAGAGCACAAAGCAAAATAGTTCTGGCATGATGTGATCTCTTGATGCTTTCATAAAATCCTGGACAATAAATTTTGCAGAGGACACAAAACTGGTAGTAAATAATAATTGGGACAGAGATCCTAATAAATAACCAGGAAAAAGCTGTTGTGTCAGGCTGGTGGACTATTATCCAAGTGGGAGGTGGGCTTCCTATGGTGGTTCCAGTGGTCAGAAAGGGAGGGGAGAGCACCTCCAGATGACCCCCTTTGTTCCTAGACTTGACTGGGCCAAACAGCAGAATAGACACTCGGGGTTACAAGGATTCCCTTGTTCAGTTCCTCATCTGTTCCATGGAATTATTTTCTCTGACCTGGATAGCACAGGCTAGCCTCATCTTGTCAGATCTCAGAAGCTAAGCAGTGTCGGCCTTGGCTAATATTTGGAAGTGTGACCTCCAAAGAATATCAGGGTTGGGACGCAGAGGCAGGCAATGGCAAACCGCCTCTGAAATGTCTCTTGTCTGAAAAACAAGTCTAGCTTGCCACTTTAGTGGTGCATAAAAGAGCTAGAACTACTGGCTGCCAGACAATTTTAGTATCTCCTGGCTATACTACATACAAAGCCATGCAATTATTATTATTTATTATTATTATTATCATTATCATTATTATTTCTTGTATTTGTCCTATTGACCTTTGGTTTAATTAGGAGAATTTGTAAAGCAAATTCCATAACTAAAGCAGACAGTTTTCTTCAGCTCTCTCTCTTTTTAGATCATTTGCATACACACACACACACACTCATAAGGCTTGGAATCCCTGCTACAGCCTGAAATGCCCCTGAAATGCAATAAAAACTGGCTAAAATTTCACAGACATTAACTGTAACCCTGTTCCCTTTATAAAATATGCCTTCCAGAACAATTCAATTTTACATATATTCTGCAGAAAAGTTGAAATGTGGGAGCTTTCTTGAACCGGTCAGGCAGGCCATTCCATTAAATCTTCTTTCTTACATTTCTTTTTATTTTGATTTGTGTGAGTGATACTGCTTCTCTGCTTTATGCTGCTTGCTTCAAAAGTTTTTTTCTATTGTGCATATAGGTTGTCAGGGTGTTTTACACTCTATGGTATTTTATGTCTTTATACATATACTCAGTATTGCAGATTGTGGTAGCTGAGTGCTGATGTATTGATGCACAAAATGTATTTATTTAAGACTAGGAAAAAGGCCCGTTGTGGAAATAAATACGAGCTCTAGAAAGAGGCTCTGGACGGGTGCCCTGGCCTTGGACACTCAGTGTCAATTTGCTGTGGCGACCTCAGCAGGGCATAATGACACGGAGTCCACCATTTTCTCCAGAGGAAATTATCTCTGCTACCTAAAGAACAGTTGTAATTTTGAGTGCTTTCCAGCCCTCACCTGGAGATTGGCAACGATGGTTCCCCAGAAGGGAATGGTTGGTTTGGAGGGTGGTGTCTATGGCTTTGTACCTGTCCAAG